ATTATCCGGACATATCTCTAACAATCTTTGGACAATTGTATTTACTCCTATACTTAACAGCGTTGCACCCAGGTAAACCAGGGAGTGACCCAAACAATCTGAGAACATGTATGTTATTTTCCATTTTTAATGTCAATACCTTTTAATTATATCTTAACGTACTTTTTAACATAGTGTAAAAACTAATGTGTATTGCTGGTCTTTGACCGTAATAAAGATTTACTTACTTCTTCCAAGTGAAGTGTTATTACTCATTAAACATTTGTAGTTATGGGATCTCTTGTTCCTCACCATCCCACATACCAAGTTATATGTCTCAAAATTGTATGCACAATTATGAATTGTGAATATTATAAAACATGAAAGAATTCTCAATGTAACCAGTCGCTTAGGACAAATAGAAATACTATATTCTTCTTCGGAGATTAAGTTGCTAATATTGAAAATTCATGCATCCACACTGTATCTATTGCTTCTTTTGTTTCCACATATCTAGTTGTATTTCACAAAATTGTAATGCACGATTAGGAATTATACCCAAACCTTTGTGATCCTAAGATCTAGATTTCTTTATTATAAAACATAAAAGAATTCTCACTGTAACCGTTTATTTGTAAACAAATGTTTCCTTTCAATACTCAGTTTTATCCTGTTAGCCTCCCTACTTTCTTTTCACAATTATCTCAGGGGTTGCCACAAAGAAGAGGGAGTCAAACTATTCTCCAAAGCACCTGAGGGTAGAACAAGACACAATGGGTGGAAACTAATCAAGGAGAGAAGCAATGTAGAATGGAGGAGAAATTTCAGGACAGTTAGAACAGTTAGAACAATTAATCAATGGAACAACTTGACTGCAAAAGTTGTGAATGCTCCAACACTGGAAGTTTTTAAGAAGATGTTGGATAACCATTTGTCTGACATGGTGTAGGGTTTCCTGCCTAAGCAGAGGGTTAGACTAGAAAACCTCCAAGGTCCCTTCCAACTCTGTTTTTCCATTCTATTATCTTTTTTCCCCTAACAAAATATGATAGATGCGTGGAAGAAAGCTTATTGTGTTTTTAGTGTTTTTATAGAGAGTTTTTATCCTGGTAAGCTGCTCAGAGTCACTAAGAGTGAGTGGCCAAAATTGTGGAAATCATTTGAGAAAAGTGTATTTTTGAGGTTTGATGGCTAATAAAACTACTTTTTTTTAGTAGTACCATAAAATCATATATCAATGGAAAGATAATTTAATCAAGAATGCAATGCAACAAACTTTGTTCAATTATCTGCATTCTATGAAAAGCTGTAGCCAAATATAGCCAGCAATAAGACCCAGTTAATAGAAGCAATCATTCAATCTTGGTTTCACATTATAACAGCTGCGGAACTAAAATACTTGGTTCACTCCATGGAAAGAAATTGCAAGGCTGTAGTTCATGCTAAAAGTTGCCTGACATGGTGATAATTTTTGTATATCTCATTTTTTCTATGGTGATAATTTTTGTATATCTCATTTTTTCTATGGTGATAATTTTT